AAAAAAAAAAGAAGAAGAGAAAAATAAGGAAGGAAAACCACAATAAGGACCTGACACTTAATAAAAATGAGAAACAGAAGGGTGCACATTCATTATGAATATTCTCAGATCATATTCTGGTAATTTAAGACTTGAGATAAGGAAGCTGAAAAATTCTGTTCGTCATCCAAATTTCAGTTTCTCAAAATTTCTACAGTGTTATCTAGTTTTAAGGAAGGATGTGGGGCAGGGAGGGGATATTTTGACTTCTGTTTGATGTCAATATTAAAAATACAGTGTTCTGTCCCCAAAATCTTTACTTGGTATGTGGGGTGGGTGGGGAAGGAAAGAGAAGCAAAGTTTGAGACATCTGGCAAATATTTCAAAGCACTAATAATTAATATTGAGAGTAAAAAGTGCAAGGATATTTTACTGTGTTGTCTACATCTGGGGGGGGGGGACAACAAATCAAACACTTTATATAAATATATATATATATATATATATATATATATATATATATATAATTGATTTCAGAGAGATGAAGAGAGGGATAGAAACATCAATGAAGATAGAGAATTATTGATCTGCTATCTCCCACACGCCCCCCACTCAGGATCGAGCCTGCAATCCACCCCCTGACAGGGAATCAAACATGACCTCCTGGTTCATGGGTTGACGCTCAACCATTGAGCCACACCAGCCAGATAAACACTCGTTATGTACACCATTAATGTTAAAAAGTGAGAAAGTATAAACATAATGTAATTATATCACATCATATCCCTCTCTTGACCCACCTCCCCTATTACCTGCTTTCCTTTGTAGATAAAAGACTTTAAGTAAGGTGGGTTGTTGTTGGTTTTCCCTGTCTCTTAAGTTCCCTTCTTCCTTTCTCCCTTGAACTCATTGTAGTAAGACGTTCTTCTTACCACCATCCAACCTACATGTATTTGTTTGTTGTCACTTGCTACTCAAAGTGGGGTCAACGAACCATGGCATCATCACCCCATGATTGCCAGAAATGCAGAACCTCGGGCCTGAATCAGTATCTACACGTGATTTACATGTGATTTGCATGCACAGTGAAGTTCCTAAGTCCCACGAGAATGGGAGCTAGTTTCCATTCATTATTGTAACCTCAGAAAGCCGAGGCACTCAAGATATACTGAATGAATGAATGAATGAACGAATGAACGAACGAACGAACAGATGTGCTGTGCACCTGTTTCAAACAGACTCCCTGCTGATGATGTGTGCAAGGCTAGACAGGGGCAAGAAAGACATCTGAAGTCAAAACTATCTCCCCCATGTACTGTGCTAACTTAGAGATCCCCTGGTATCCGCACATCCTTCTTTCAAAATGCAAACATATCCCCAAAGAAAGCAGACCTTCAAAACTGTGGGTTACTTAAATGAGATAATCATTCTCACATCTAACAAAATCAGCCAAACAGAGAGAACAGCAATGAGAGAAAGCTGAGAATGCAGAAAGTGCCTACTCTGTGCTGGCTATTGTAGCAGACAAGAGGGAAACAAAGATACATCAAGAACTTACAAGGTGGTGGGAGAAGCAGAGGACCCTTCAGGGGAGGACCAGGAGGGGGAAGTGCCTGACAGGAGAGCTCGGGAAAGCCCAAGACAGTAAAAGGGTCCAGAGTGGCCCTCCCTTTAGCAGCCTGTGTTCTGGCCACAAAGAACGCTTTCCTTTTCCTCTGCCTAAAATGTGACCATCATCGGTCAAACACCTCCTCATCCTCCAAAGCCCCACCCTTCCCGAATTCACCTAATTTTATTAGATCTGATCACACATCTCAGAGGTCAGGGGCACTTTTCACCCTCTTCATAAGGGGCTTCTACAAACTACCCTATCCCTACTCTCCTCTGGATCCCCTGCCCAGCACAGCACCGGGGCACGATACCCGTTTGGTCAGATTCTGCCACTTGAGAAGAACACTAGCACACCCTGAGCATCTGTTATGTGCTAAGCGCTGTTTTTAAACAATTGAGATGTAGCGATTCATTTAATCCTCACTCTTACTGTCAGATTGGCGCTCTTACTGTCCCGGTTGTATACACACCAGGAACCCGAGGGCCTTCGCATAAAGGAACGAGCACCGGGCCTGACTGACATGAACTGAATGGGTGACCAGCAGTGAAGAAGATGAGGAAGTCAACTTTGAACTTGACTCTTGTGTCTGGAGCCCCAGAGGGCAGAGGAAAACCGAGGGTGTCAGAGCTTGCTGCCATACGGAACCTCCTTTCCCACACCGCCCTCCCACGTCCGAAACAGAAGTGACTGCCTGGCAGCGAGGGCTCTGGGGAGATGGGAGCCAGGCGAGCACGGAGGGAGGATACTCAAGGCAGCAGTCTTTCCTTCCAAGAAAAAGAAAGAGAAGGAAGCCCGGTGCCTCAGCAACGTTCAAGCCAAAGAGCTTGTGGTGGAGCGGATGGAGGTGGGGCCAGGCTGCAGGGGCCCCCGGACACGAAAGTTCTGAACAGCGGCCACGGCATTTTCTAGAAGCAATGGATCTTTAGCATTTTTCAGCAGAGGTAAATGTCCAGCTTAGCTTTGCTTAGACAACAAGGAAGAGCAGGGATGCAAGGGACAAGCCCGCAGCGAGCTAGCCCTTGCAGCAGGATCTCAACATCACGGGTCCCGCTTCTCATGCTACTCAGCATCGACCATTTTCCGCCGAGAGTGGCAGCACCGACCCGCAGCCACCCCGCAGGAATACTAGTGTTTCAAAACCGGGGCGTTGGCTGAAAGTCATCCGTTCTTCTCCTGCCTCCCTCCTGACACTGCTTCTTCACAAGATGCCCCTGCATTAGGTCCAGGGCTCACCCACCCTGCCTCCAGTGGAAACCAGAGAACAAACGAAAGCAGGCTGGAGGGGAGGCGAGGGGAAGGGGGGGCAACACGTCGTGGAACTGAATCAGTGGCAAACACGCTGGAACCCATACAGCCCAGTGGTTGAATCTGGACCCACACTCGGGTGAGCTGGAGCACCAGGAATTGCTCATCAGGGGGACAGCCCAAAGAGCACCCCAAAAGGGTGGAGGAAGCAACAAGTCACTCCAGGGAGGGGGGGGGGTCACAGGACTTGGGGAACAACATCAACTTCAGTGATTTTTACTGTCGCTTTCATCATCTTTCCTGGCGATCCCCGTACTGAGAGGACAAGGAAAAAGGACACCCCAGCAAAAACGGAACGCTCCAGCCGGGAGGTCCCCCGAGGCCGGCAGCCTGAGAGAAGAGCCAAGTCCAGTCATTTGGGGTTCGGAAGGACCATGTCCAGAGGCCGGAAGGGAGATCAGAAATGCAAACCCAACAAGAGGGCATCACCTGGCCTCAGGCCGAAGGGGAACAAAGCACACATCCCAATGTCACACATCACAGAGGGGCGGACAGTATCTGCACGCAAACAGACAACAGCCCACAGTTAGCGCCTCCTACCTTGGTAGATTGCAAAACTCTCAAGGATCCGATTCATTTTAAATCAGAGCTCAGGCCGGTTCTGAGCCAATGAACACCAAGTCATTTACGGGTGTCTGACTCAGGACTCACTTTTACCATGCCATCAAATCCATTCCCTGAAAACGGCTCGAAGCATATAATTCGAGGGTCAACATTCTCCAGGGGCTTCCCTCGGGTCTCAGGCACACAGCCAGCGATGACCAAACTCTGTAGCCACTCTAATCCTAACAGAACATTTCTGGGCAGTCAGTGGCTTGCACACACAGACACCTCTCGTCAGGAACATCTCTTGTAATGAAGCAAAGCCAAACGGGCTTTGAATTAAGCTGTTGAGGATAAGAAATATTTTTAACCTAAAACACTCTTATCTAAAAGTGTGAGTTCCTTTTAGATCATAATTTTGGCTTTCATAATCTAATCTAATTTGGGGGAAGGGGTACACGGCAGAGGGTGGGGGAGTGGTAGTAGTCCTCATTAATCCTTGCTAAAAATCACAAAACTATACGATCATATCAGCTGAAGTGAGACTTATATTCCATGATAAACGGAATGTACCAAGAACCAACCATTTCACCACAAACAAAAGCCTGCCCTTTACAAGTGCCGTCGAAATCATTCTTATTTCCAAAGTCAATTGCTGACCTCACTTGTGTATATTTCAAAGCACATTAGCAGAATAATCCTCCCCGAATAGTGACAACAGATTTCTCAAAAATCTTCCCAGGAATTACAGTTATCTATTCCCTGAGGATTCCTGGGAATCTGGGAGCCAAGCGTGCCGGTTAACGGGCCTCCTGCGCACAGCTGATTGTGTACACCTGATCAGTGCCCGGATCCCCCTGCAGCCTGCAAGCCATGATCTCCGTCCCCGGGAGAAACGGCGTCTCCTGTCAATGCCGGGGAAACTGTTTGGGAAGCCCACATGGCAACCGCCTTAAACTCTGGCCATTTCACGCAGTTAAAACAAAGTGGAGCCAAAACCGGTTTGGCTCAGTGGATAGAGCATCGGCTTGCGGACTGAAGGGTCCCGGGTTCCATTCCGGCCAAGCGCATGTGCCTTGGTTGCGGGCACATCCCCGGTGGAGGGGGTGCAGGAGGCAGCTGATGGATGATTCTCTCATGGATGTTTCTAACTCTCTGTCCCTCTCTCTTCCTCTTTCTGTGAAAAATCAATAAAATATCTTTAAAATAAAATAAAATAAAAAATAAAACAAAGTGGACACCCAATTCCAGGGAGCCCAAAATACAGTGGACGTGCCCACCGGGGCATGTGTCCTACAAAAGCACTTCCCTTTGAAGGCGTGCTACCCACACCATGCCTTGACCCAGAGGAAGCGTGCCTGTGGGACCCAGGGAAGCACCTGCAACTTGTCCAGAAAGGAGATCCGAAAGCACCTCTTGTCACTCCCCCCGCCCAGCGGCGCTTTCCCGGGAGACGCGTTCCCGCCGGTGCCGCACAGCCCTCTCCCTCTCCGGCCGCCGCGCCTGGTGCCCGCCCGGCCCTCCCCGAACCCCCCAGCGCCCAGCGGGGCGCCCTGCTTACCCGGGTGGGCCGGGCAGTGCCCGGGCAGGGCCGCCAGCAGCAGGAGTCCCAGCAGCAGCGGCGGCGGCGCCTCCAGGGACGCGGCGGCCCGAGGACCCCGCGCGCGCCCGGGGCCGCTCACGCCGGCCGCCCCGAGCCCGCGCGCCCCAGGCCGGACCCCGCGCCTCCTCGCCGCCGGCCCGGCTCCTCGCGGGCCCCGGGGCTTCGCCTCCTGCCGAGCCATGGGGCCGCTTCACGCATCCAGGCCGCCGCCGCCTCGCTCCGCGCCGCGCCCGGGAGCCCAGCCTGCGGCGCCCCGGTCCTCAGCGGGCATCTCCGGCCATGGCCCGGGCGCCGGGGGGCGGGGGCGCCGGGCGGCGGCTTCACCCGCGCCGGGGCCGGGGGCCGGGCCGCATGGGGGTGCCCGCGGAGCAGTGACCGCGCCCCGGGCAGGGAGGGCGGGACGGACGCCGCCCGGGGCCCCCTCCCCGGCAGCTCCCACGGGCTGTGGGGGGGCGAGGCTTCGGGGAGCAGCCGCGGGCGCACCGGGGACCCTCCTGCCCGCTGGCCTCTCGGCCCCGCTCTCCGCGCCCTCTGGCTCCGGTCCGGCTCCCGGGCGGACGGCGCTACTGCAGCTCCGAGCGGCGCCTCATTGACAAAGGGAGCACGTCGCCCCGGAGCCGGCGAGGCAGGCGAGGCCGGCGCGCGCGCGCATCCCCGCGCGGAGCCCCTGCGCGCCCCCCGCTCCCGCGCGCCCCGCGGGCCGCGGGCGGGGAAGGGGCCTCGGGGCCGGGGAGGGAGTGGGGAGTGGGCTTCCCTGCCCCCTCCTCCCCATCATTCCAGCCCCCCCATCCAGAGGAGAAGAGGTGGGCAGGAGAGGACTTCCGGTCCCGAGAAGGGAGGTAAAGGGTCCTCGCCCAAGTGCTGAAGAGGCCGAAAGCGCTCCAGCCTGCGTTTCCGAAAGCCCTTGGCTGGTGGGAGGGCGCGCTTTGTGCTGTTGGTTCCCTGCTTCTCCCAGGAGCCAGGGAGCACCTGCATGTCCGGTTTGCCTCTGAGCAACTGCAGCATTTGTGTCCTAGTTGCAATAACATGCTAGGTTAAACACATTATAATTACACGAGAGGCCCGGTGTGCGAAATTCATTGGGGGTTGGGGGTGGAGATGGAGGAAGACAGGTGTCCCTCAGCCCAGCCTGCACCCTCTCCAATCTGGGACCCTTCGGAGGATGTCCAACTGTCGGTTAGACATTCCTCTCACAATCCCAGAAGATGGGCTCCTAACCGCTTGCCTGCCTGCCTGGTTACCGCTAACCGCTTCTGCCTGCTAGCCTGATCGCCCCCAACTGCCCTCCACTGCCAACCTGATGGCTCACAACTGCTCTCTACCCTGCTGGCCTGATCACCACAACTACCTGCCTCCTCCACCAGGCCCTGCCTCTGCTGTGCACAAGGCCATCTTGTGACGGCGTTAGGGTGTGGTGCATGAGGGCAGGACAGCCACCTAACCCAGAGGTCGGCAAGCAGAACCTCGCGAGCCACATGCAGCTCTTTGGCCCCTTGAGTGTGGCTCTTCCACAAAATACCACGTGTGGGCACACACATACAGTGGGATTGAAACTTCGTGGCCCACGTACAGAAGTCAGTTTTCAGCTCTCAAAAGAAATTTCGATCGTTGTACTGTTGATATTTGGTGCTGTTGACTAATGAGTTTGCCAACCACTGACCTAGGCTATTATTAGTATAGATTGTGCCCTGCACGCTGGGGAGACCAGGAGAAAGTTTCTAAACGTCGCTTTCCTGGAATGGAATTAAGCAGGCACTACCCAGCGGCCCCAGAGGCAGCCGAATGGCCCCCTTGTTCTTCCCTCCTCAGGCTAGATGGCCATGAGGAAGTCATCCAGTTCATCAGCGCTTCCGACATCTCTCAGTCTCAATAAATATTGAGTGCCCACTGAGTCCCGGGGACCAAAAATGCACGCCCCTGACCTGATGTTCAGACTTTATTCAGGCAACAATAATATTCCTGGCTGCCTGTTGTGTGCCAGGTACTGTTCTAGACACTGAGGACAACAGCCATAAACAAAATCCCTGCCCTCTTACTGCTGAAATTCGAGTGCAGATAATACCAGCATGAACAATAGATAATATGTCAGTAGCGATAAATGCTTTGGATTAAAAAGAATGAAAGTGGAGGATGCCATGTTTCCGTGTTAAACAGGATGGAAGGAAGGCCTCACAGAGAAGGTGACATTTGAGCAAAGACCTCAAGGAGGTGAAGGAGTGAGGCGGGCAGACAGAAAGAACATTCCAGATAAAGGAGACACCAAGGGCAAAACCCAAAGGCCGAGTATGTCTGGTGTGCTCAAGGCCCAGCGTGTAGGAAAGAAGTAACACCATATTTCATCTAAGACATGCATCTTACATGTTAACTTTTTGGAAGTGAGATGTGTCTTGTAATGCATCTGAGACTTATTGAAGTATAGGAATACCTAGTTGGGTTATTTATTAAGCTTGCTGTTCAATGGAATTAGTTCTGCTGTTTCTCAGAAACTTACAGTCCAGAGGAGGCAATAAGACAACTCAAAAGGTCTGTTTGAGACACGCATGAGAAAGCCAGTCTGTGGCCATGATTCAGGCAACATCACGACAGGAGGAGAGGTCCTGGCAGCGGTCTGTGAGCCCAGGCTCAGGGGGGTGAGGGGGGTGGTGGCAGGCTGTCAGGGCAAGGTGGGTTGGAGCAGCTCGGGTGTGGAGAAGCAGAGAGCGCTGAGCAGAGGGGTGGGGTGAGATTCGGGAAAAAGCATGTGTGGAGCCCTGTGGGGAGAATTGGGCGAGACAGAGAAGAAGGAATGTTGGGACCCACTAGGGGAAAGCTCTGGACATATCTGGGCTTTTTCCCCAAAGGAGAGGGACGGGAGAGGGGAGGGAGCATGGACCAGGCTCTGTTGGTAGCAGCTGGGAACACAAAGGTGGATGTGATCAGAGAAAATACAAGCCCTTTAGTGTCACAGCCTTCCTTCACCTCACCTTTTAGCTGCACTTAGGACACGCGGCGGTGAGAGGCATTGATAGGACAAGGTGAGCAAGTCCCAGCCAGGGAGCTGGAGGGGCTGGCTGGATTCATATAGCAAAGACAGAATGTTCCTGGCCTTGAAGACATCGAAAGATCCAGAAGGGGAAAGGGCTGCAAAACAAGAGAAACCAGGTTGCACCACAGCTGGGTTCTTTATGAGCAGTTAGAGTGAGTGGAAAGAGATTTTGGGAGCAGCTCCCACGGAGTTGAGAAAGAGCAAATGTGTATCTTAAAAAGGTTTCAGCTGTGTGGCAAATGGGATCTTCCCTTCACCATGATTGGCCAGACTTAGACAAGATATAAATCATTGCCCTAGCTGGTTTGGCTTAGTGGATAGAATGTCAGGGTTCAATTCCAGTTGGGGGCACATACCTGGGTTGCGGGTTTGATCCCCATTGGGGAGGTGCAGCAGGAAGCCGATCAATGATTCTCTCATCATGGATGTTTCTATCTCTCTCTCTCTCTCCCTTCCTCTCTGAAATCAATAAAGATATTTTTAAAAAGATATAGCCGAAACCGGTTTGGCTCAGTGGCTAGAGCATCAGCCTGCAGACTGAAGGGTCCCAGGTTCGATTCCGGTCAAGGGCATGTACGTTGGTTGCGGGCACATCCCCAGTGGGGGTTGTGCAGGAGGCAGCTGATCGATGTTTCTCTCTCATCGATGTTTCTAGCTCTCTATCCCTCTCTCCCTTCCTCTCTGTAAAAAAAAAATCAATAAAATATATATATATTTAAAAGATATAAATTACTTTTCAGTGACTTGGGCTGTTAAACTGGTGTTTCATTTCATTTTTCTCCCTGATGGCGCTGGCCTCAAGGTCAGACACAGCGAGGTGGCATACACAGACAGCAGCCACTGAGAGGGACTACGTGGTACATAGGCAGTAGAGGGTGTGCAGACAGCCCATCATTGTGGGCAAGTGGGTGAGGGGGGCTATGTCTGCCGGGAGGAGGAGGAGAGGGGAGAAAGGAAGGTAACATTTAAAGTTGGGGTTTAGTAGGCTCCACAAATGGCAAGGTAAAAAGGCACGGGCGTCTGGGGCACTTGGCAAGGAAGGGTGAGGTGTCTGGGGAGGATGGCACAGAGGGGACGTGGGGAGACTGCTTCAAGGCGGGAGACCTACGTTGGAGGAGATGTGCGGAGGCTGAGTTTGTGCCTGACCCTCATCCGATAGGAACAACTCTGGGAGCATTTCTGCTGGAGCAGGGAGCTGGATGAGACAGCTCCCAGTCCTTGATTGCAGAGTCTGTGTACCGTCTGAAACTTGACTACTTCCATTTCAATGCAGGCTCTACCATTTGCTAGCTGTATAACTTTGGGCAAATCGCAGATTCTCTCTCTCATCTATAATACGAAATGATAAAGAGTATCTATCTCCCTGGTTTTGCTTTAAGGATTGAGTAGATACATGTCAAGTTTTTAGAAGTATCATTGGCACATAGTAATTGCTCAATCTTATATATTATTATATATAACAGGCCTGGTGTACAAATTCATGCACAGGTGGGTTTGGGCCGACCCAACCCAATCAAGGCCAATCAGGCTGGACTGGCCACCGGCGGTTGGCCAGCCAGCCCTGCCCCTGGTCAAACTCTCAAATTCCTGGTTGAGGGGACAATTTGCATATTAGTCTTTTATTATATAAGATTACATTCCTCTTAAACCATAAGCCCTTCTGTTAAGTCTTTTAAAACTCGAGCATTGAGACTTTCCCCGTGTGTAAATTCGCTGCTGTGTAGCTTTTAAAAATCAGTCTCTTTTGCCTGGCCAGTTTGGCTCAGTGGTTGAGCATTGATCTATGGGCCAGAAGGTTGAGGTTCAATTCCTGGTCCAGAAGGGGCAGGAGGCAACCTATCAATGATTTTCTCTGATCATTGATATTTCTGTCTCTCTCTCCCTCTCTAAAATCAATTTCTGTCTCTCTCTCTCTCCCTTTCTAAAATCAGTGTTTTTTGTGCAAAGCATTTTGTCGGGCAGGGGAAATAACCAATCTCTGGGCAGTGGTTTCAGGCCCTCACCTGAAATTTCCCACGTTACCACAGGGGAGGGGAAATACCTGGGCCTCTCTCTCATCCTTTTCTGCAATAAGCAAGGAGACCTCGTCTCTGTCACTAACATTCCTTGTTGGTACAAAGGCCACGTCCACACTGAAGTCCTTTCTGTGCCCGGAC